CTTCCAATTCGCGGATGCGGGCTTCACGGTCTGCAACTGTGCCCTCAGCGACGCGACGCGCATTTTCTTGTTCTGTGACTTGTATTTGAAGCTTCGACACCTGCTGACTGTAAATGTCGCTGTTCGTGACTTTATCTGATTCTAGCTCTGTGACAAGTGTTTCTAGGCTCCTGATCTCCTCGCGATACCTGTTAAGCGCGGCATTGAGTCTGTCAATACCTACGGCCTGCTCCTCTCCTTCTTTTTCTAGCTCCTGCATCCTCATTCGTGTATGGAGCATGTCGCTAGCAGAGCCGGCAATAGACTCTTCAAGACCGCTGATCTTCTTGCTCGCTTCTTCGTACCGAGCCAGAAGGTTATCGAATTGAACACGAAGGGCTCTTTCCCTGTCACTAGAGCCCAAAGCCCTTGCGCGCTCATCTCCTAAGCTTTTGATCAGGATCTCAATCCGTTTGACCAAAGCACTAAGAGTCGCGCAGCCGTCATTCAAGCCTATATTCGGGGTCTCTCCAGGAATCGCTCGTTCGAGACGCAAGCGTGCGGAGCGGAACTGATCGCGCATGTCTGCAATGATCTCTTCGGCGTGCATTCCGGGAAATCCCAGTTCTGACAACTCCTCATTGATAAAATTCAATGACTGCGTGGCATCCGAAGCTCGAGCAAGGGTCTCAGCCAGACTTGGTATCAGTTGATCTACGAAGTCTGGCGGTGGGGAAGTTCGATGAAGATGAGGCTCAAGCGTAGTTCCACCAAAGGACGCAATGCGAAAGCGGCATGCTTCGAAGAGGGCGCGTTTCTCTCTCCTAGCAGTTTCAAGGTCTGCGAAGAGGGCATGGATTTCTGCCCCTGAGTCATGGTCAGGAAGGGACAATTGAGTTTCCGCATCCGCATTCGGGCTCCCGCTTCGCAAGAGTTCACAACCATCTATGCCAAAGCGTGGAGTTTTCCATAGAGATCTGAGATCAGGTGAGTCCGAGATAAGCATCGTTTCTCCGTCAAATCCGCTTTCATTGACGATGATTGTGTGGTTCTCGGTGTTGGTGACACTGGAGCTGTCGACGAGATCATCCCTGGAGAAAGAAAGCTCCTGTCTCATTCGATGATTCTCAGACTCCAGACGCTCGGCTAGTGACCGAGGGGAATCGCACGAGGGTCCGCCAGCCGGTTCCAGCGATGCGCCTGTGGGCAGGCGCTCGATTCGCTTGACCGAATCCAGCTCTTGCTTCAAAGAGTCACGTTCCCGCAGCAATGTCTGCAAGGTTCGCTCATAACGTGCTGCGTCCCTCTTCTCGCGCTCCAACTGGTTGATCTCATCACTCAACCCAACTCGCCGGATTCTTCGTTGCGTCCGCGAGTCCAGAAGCTGTCGAAGTGGCGTAAATTGAAACACCTGTTCCACACCGGCTGACGAAGAGGAGGCCGGGGAAGGCGACTGAAAGCGGGTCTTGCGGAGTGGCGTGGAATGGCGTCGCGAGCGGCGACTTGGAGAGCTAGCCAAAGGATCTATATCCGCCCGTTCTTCAAAGGAGGTGCGTAGCATGGCGGGCGTGAGCCCAGTCCCATAGTCGGAGCCGTCGTGTAGCTGAGGGCCTGGATCGGAGAAGCGGACCTTCTTCCTAGGCTGTCGCCGACTCTTGGAAGGAGTAGCGGTGGCATGAGCGCTATTGGACTGACGAGTTGTTCGTTGAGTGGACGCTGAGAGTTGAGGCTCTGGACCGGAGACAGAACCGACCCGGCGTTTGCGCCCGGACTGCTGTCTTGTTTCAACGACCATTGCGTATTGGCCCGGCGGGGTACAGTACAGTACACGCTTAGGTCGTACAACAAAGGAAGATCAGTGATATAGATATAGTATCTGAGTTACCAGTAGGTTCCGCTCGGACAGAATAATGATAGAAACGTGTTGCAACCCGAATGAAAATGCAGTGGTGCAGTTGAGTGCATGAAAGGCGATATAGGCGATATAGGCGATATATTACCGAGCAACGAAGGCAACAGAGCGCGACAAAGTATGGAACCGCAACCTGGAGGCAACAGGGGCCACCTGGCAGAGTATATTTTGATATGATTTTTCTACATTCGGCAAGGGGTCGATCGTGCCGAGGGCGAGGGCGTGCCTTCCTTACGCGTGATGGACCCAGGGCCATGTCTCAATTGGGAAAGCGTAAACAACATCCCGAGCTGGGCTTAGCCTGGAGCCTGGAGCCTGGGGCCTCCCGGGGATGCCTTGCGCCCATCAGGTGACTGTCTCTGTGCCTGGCGATGGGGTTGTGTGTGTGTATGACATGTGAAAGGTTCACGGCCATTTGCTCGTTCATAATGACCGCAAGCTACGGAGTACTGACTTAACTAACGTTATCACTTCTGCGTCATCAGCTCAGCTCCATTGATGGATGATTACAGTGGATCAACCATAGTTCGGGCACTTATCAGTCCTAAGCCTGAGGACAAAGGCCTCCCTCCCCCTGTCAGATTACACACTCTAAGTTGCAGTGCGGTAGTTGCTTTCTTATCGCTCCCAGGGAACGAAATTTGGCTCTGCACATCACTCACTTTCTCTGGCCAGAGCAAATGACCGTCGTTCCCCAACTTCATCCCAAACATCCCAAAACTTGGGTTCGTTTCCATGCGAGACACTGCAGGCTACCAATTGATCAAGCTCCCTTACTTCCCCTGACTCAAATGTCCCAAATGTCCTGGTAACAGCGTTGCACGGTCTCTGCTGCGTGGATGATGAGGTGATGCGGGCCTGCTGCGGGTGATGTCATGCGATCTGACTCTCCCCTCGCCAGTCGAAGAAGCAACAATCCCTAACACTAACTTAAAACATGCAGATCGCCTTTGTCTAGATATCTCTTCTCCTTCCCGGCACCCTCTGCGAGCTGTCATTTTTGAAGTTGACTGCGCCCTCGACACACGCTCCACAGTCCTTCTCCACGCCCAAGCCACTGCGATGGCCACTACGTCAGCCAGTTGGTATTCGAGCCAGGCTGCTTTGGGCGAACCACGACAGACTTCAACAGAGCAGAAAAACGGGCTGCAGTCCTCCATAGCCGACCTTACCTCCGAGACTGAAGACATCATGGAAGGTCCCATCCTAAAGCTCCCCCCAGAACTAGTCCAGCAGATTCTGGCTTATCTGTCAGCCCAAGAGCTTGCCCGTGTAGCCGTTACCTGTCGCTCTCTCGCGGATCACGTCAATAACGAGCTGCTGTGGTTGAATCTGATCAACTCTTACTTGCCCGAGCCTATTCATGACCCTGGCCTTTTCGACTCCTTCCGTAGCCTCTACATTGCCCACCATCCCTGCTGGTTTATTCCTAAGCACAAAGTCTGGTTTTCCGACACAGAACATACAGGAAATCTGATTCTGGCGCGGTATGATCATCGACGCGGGGTGATCGAGGCATACCGGGTCATCGCAGAGCGGCGCTCTCATCAATTTCAAATATGGGACTGGAACCCCGATGTTATCATACAAAGCTTTGATCCGAGGGTCAGTCTATGGTTGGACGACCCTGTCCTTTTGCTAAAGCCCCAGCGCGAGGGGCGGTCACGCTATCTGCAGGGAGAGATTCGCATGCCCATGGCTCTTGAGATGCAGCATGTCTTCAATGCCTTTTCACCCTGCTCAAAATATCTGCCTCCAGACCTCGATGGGAGTAAGCAGTGGCCACCACCAACCATCCCGAGCAATCATCGAGTCTATCGGGATGTCGAGCAACAGCTACCAGAGTGGGAGCGCAATCCTCGACAGCTAGAGGAGATGTCAGAGTATGGTTTCCGGATCCGAAGGTGGGCGCATTTTCGTCTGGGGGTTCCCATATTCGCCGCAGGTCGGAATGAGACCCTCTCGACATTTGCCACGCTCGACCCTGCAGTGTACACGCCAACACCGCGCAGGCCATACCAAGGCATTTGGGTTGGCGATTATTCAGCCCACGGCTGCGAATTTCTGCTTGTGCTGCAACGCGACCGCGATGGATCGCTCGCGGCGGCCGAGCCGACTGATGGCGAAGCGACGCTACAGGGAAGCCTCGAGGCTATCAAGCTGACCGGTGACCCAAACGTACCACGAGGAGAGATCTCCTTTGCAGCGGATGACATCGGCCCTGGCGGCCTGGTGCGGATTGCTGACGAGGGCCTTTTCCAAGGAGCACGAATCGTGCGCAGCCGAGGCCATGTGGCGGGCCTTGGCTTCCGTGATGGTAAGAACTATCGTTCCGAATCAAGTGTTTGTCTACTCTGACCCGAGTTTCTAGATACTTTTATCTCGTCTCAACTGATCCTGCTCTCAACGGACTGTGTGGCTCACTACTGGGAAACAATGGGCCACATCTCTTACTACCGCCGACTCGATGTTGATGCACTACTCCAGACGTGAGGCCGACTTGTTCCAAACATTACGTATGGGCGCATCATGTCATTTATCTACTCTTCTCCATTCTTGAAACCTACCCAGTTGCATTGCTTTGGTGTCTTACATTGAAGCACGTTAGCGCTTCAACAACGGACGTGGGCCAGAGCTCAGCATCGTGGCGGAGTGACCGTTCCCTCCATGGCAGAGCACCCATTGGCTCTTGGGATGGGTGGCTCAAGTCTCAGTGATGTCGCTTGCATTCTCAGCCCAGCCAATCTGCGAAGGATGACTGTAGTCGAGATATGCATCGGTTGTCGCGGATAAACCAGGCGTGGTACGATATCTGTTTGCTATCGACATGAGTTTATGTACATTGGTAATATCAAGGAGAGCGCCAGTGTCAGGTACACGAGTGAAGAGACGACTCAAGGTGCACAGATAATGAAGGATATTCCTAACGCCATGATTTGCTGTTGCAACACCAACCGAGCGGGATCCCCGCCGTACGATCACCATGCATATACGAAACCGACCCGGACGCGTGGAGGATCACCCGGGCTTGACGGGGAAGAAGAGGGAGGGGGTGGGGAGTTCTTTCCTCTATCCTGCCGACCATAACCGAAACAGGCATGTAAACGGGCGCTGCAGCCGATTTCGACATCGAATTTCCGTTCCAAGTTCATCGACCCTGCCACTTCATTCACGTTGAGACAGAAGAGAAAGAGGGGGCAGCCGACTCAGCCGCCGACGATAATCAACAACCCTCTACCGTCTCCGCTCAAACCAGCTGGTCGACCCGAGGACCGCCACGGACTGGTCCATCACCCACTCGCCCACGCCGAGGTACTTGTCGATCCACTGCTTGAAGTCCTTGTTATCGGTGATTTTGTCGGTTTCGAGACTGGGGCTGTGAAGGACCCCCACGCACAACCCGGGACAGGGGCAGGCGTGAGGAAGATGAGTTAGCGTGATGTACGAGGTGTCGAATACAACCCAGCCTCAATCCTCGGAGGTTGAGGTTTGCACATGCGCGGGAAGCGGGAGGAGGTTTATTACGTTAATCCAGTCGACCGCTTGATGCCGGCCAGAAAGGCGGAGACTGGTAGAAAGCGAAGGGCGGGTTAGCATCACTGGTGGTTCGCTTCGCATCCGAACTTCTGCCTCCTGCTTATGGCTGGGGCACGATAGGAGAATAAGAAAGAGAAACGTACTGAGTACCGCATCAAAAGCGTAATGACTGAGACGACCCAACTAGTAGCCCCGACCAACCGGTCATAAATCAGTATACACTTATTCCCCGGGCTCGCATATGCTACCCCCCGCTTCAGATTCCTGGCGAGTAAGAAGATGAACCCACCATCTTGAAGTATGCGTGCGTGCGCGCGTGGTATGGTACGATCGAAGTTGCGGCTAGATAGATCGACAATCGACAATCGACAACCCGGGAGAGAGAGGGGAAGGAAGACACTGGATATCTGCGCCGTTAGCTACACTGTCTGTTTCTCTCTCTCTCACTCTCTCAGCCAAACAATACCCGACTCCACTCACAGTACTAAGAAACGTGGGCTGAAAACTCAGGCGCTGCCTGTAGGCTATGCTATCGGGTAAGTTCAAAGTGGACGGTCCTGCTCGGAGCGGAGAAATGAGGAGTTGAAGTGGAAAGATGGTGGAGAAAGGGAACTGCAGTGGACGGGCTCACGTGCTTCGAGGGCACATGACGTGGGCGAGTGATCTGTCCAGACTGTTCGTGGTTTAGGCACCGGTGGAAAGGCGGTGAGGAATCGGAGGCTGGTTCACACTTCACCTACTAGGCACTGCTGGTGGCTGGGAGATGGGTGGCTGATGGGCTATGGCTGAGGGAGGGGTTGTTGTGGCTGTGTCGCTCGCTTTTGTTGGTGGGAGGGGCTGCAGAAGCCGGTGGGGGTTTGAAGTGAGGTATCTTGATGTGTGGATATGACATTTAAATTAAGATGCTATCCATTATCTTTGGGCTGCTTTTGATTGAGGCAACTGGGTATTGTGCTCTACAGTACATTGCAGGAGTCTTGTAGACCATATTTTGGACGGCATCTCTTGTCTGAGAGATTGGGAAAGTTCGAGTAGGTCTAATGGAGAAGCTGCACTTATGCACTACATCAACTGTGAAGAGGAAGACAGCTGGGTATACTACTGTAGTAACTGCCCGCCGAAGACAAGCGCTGAAAGAAAGACATGGTCGGCGACATTAGCGATCCTCAAGTGAGGACCTAGAGGGTTGCGTTGAACCAGATATATGCGTCTACAATCGATGATAGAACGCAATACAGCCCATAAGAGGGTACATCGCTCTTATCTCCACAAGACACCCCATAGCAAGCGACAAGCCACGAATACATGAACCAGACACCAAGCCTACTACAGCGTTAGTTCAAAAATGTACGCAGTATAAACCAAGACGCAAAAGCTCACTCCCATCCCAAACGCGAGGCACCAAGCGGAATCAACAACCACCTATCTCCGAGTCCAGATTCAACTGCAAGTAAATACACCCAACCGGTGTGGACCGGAGTAACTGCCGTGCGTGCCGGCCAGGCAAGAAACTCCGCGCACCGGGGCTTAAAGTCTTAAAGTCTCTGAACGGAGAAAGCCAAGTGCGGGCCGCCGCGGAGAGTATGCCGCAGAGTGCCTGAGGCAGTGACGGCCTGGTCTCTGAGGCAACACAGGTACAATGGGTTCACCGGGAGTCCCGAGTCGGCAACCGAAGCCTGGGCTCTCGCTATCAAGACATCGGAGATGCCTGGTTGGCGAGGTTCCTTCTGGCCAATCGGAGGTGGAAGAGTATAGATGATGTTGAGGACGGAAGTACAGTACAGCTACCTGCGATACACAGTACGGATATACATAAGTATGATAAAAGAGTGAAGTAGTGATGATCGGATGTGCATGGTTGGCTTGCGTAAAGGGAGACGAGACACCACTAAACGGCCATGTAGATTGATGCTGCTCTTGGTTGCCTGAGAGTGTGCGTGACGGAGGTCTCCGATCATCAGTTCCCGGAACGGGAGTCACACACACGAACTTCATTCTGTTTGCATGCCATCGGACACGACCATGTTTTAAAATTGGACTGATTGTACTGAGTGAGCACTGTGCTGAGGCATATTGTTCAGCCCTACGGGTTGGTCTCATCCACTTCGGCTCCATGTTCCCAGCAAAAAGATGGGAGATTCGTCCTCTGCGGCACCTGATTGATCGAGGTGATGGGCATGGTGGGGATGGAGTCTCCTCCAGTGGTTTTGTCATGTGGTCCATGATCCATCGGGGCAAGCTGGTTCTGGACGGAAAGCACCAAGTGACAATTGTTGGCGATAGACTAGGAGGATACTACGGAGTTGATAGGGCAAATATCATGGATCATGGATCCCTCCTCAACATGGAACCGAATTGGGAGAGTCGCCAGGGAGGTGTGCCTGAGGATTCCGCTCCGGTTGGCGGCGGGGTTCTAGTACAAATTTAAATAACTAGTACCTAGTACTGGATGTACACTGTAGCTGGCAGACTGGATGGTCAAGTACAAAGGATGATCCTTTTTTTTTGATGAGAATTACATGTTACTCGTGGGCCGTAGATAAGTTAGAGTTGCCATAAAACAACAACAATAACAACCAAAGCCATTAATAATAGCAATGAGCTCAGTTACGTAGAAACGAAGGGGGGCGTGGGCGACTGGAGGACCAGCTACCCGTGGGGAACCGACCGAGAAGCTGAAAAGGGAGCTGGTAAAAACGGCTGCCAACATTTTTCCAGACCGAAGAACGGACCACTCATCCTCACCCACACCCCTCTTGACCTGCTCTGCTCCAGTCTAGTCGGTCGCTCACTCACCGGATCCGCCGCTGTTCATCTTTTCTTTCCTATCTTTCCTCCCACCCCACCCCACTCTCTCTCTCTCTCTCTCCCTCTCTTCTTCCCCTTCTGCTTCTTCTCTTCCTCTTCTTCTCTTCCTTTCTCTCCAAACCTCTCCTCCCTCTCCAATTTCACTCACCTCTTCTGATACTTTTTTTTTCTATCCGGTTCAGTAGAGACACCTTATTCAAAATGGCCGCCAGCTCCTCTCTCGACCATCTGAGCAACCGTATGAAGCTGGAGTGGCACTCCAAGCTCAACACGGAGATGGTCCCCTCCAAGAACTTCCGCCGCACCTCCATCATCGGAACCATCGGTACGCTCATCTCCCAGGCGCATTGCATTGATTGTCTTGCCGTAGAGCTTCAGCAACCATGATTTCGTCGGTTACTGACATTGCCCCGCTTCTAGGTCCCAAGACCAACTCCGCCGAGAAGATCAACATGCTCCGCAGAGGTACGTTGGTTATAGTATTCGACTCGGGGGGCTCCTGAGAATTAACCTGTGATCCAGCTGGTCTTAACGTTGTTCGCATGAACTTCTCCCACGGTTCTTACGAGGTGAGTACTTGGTCTGCAGCCACCGCTCGGTCCTGATGCTGATTTTGACAGTACCACCAATCCGTTATCGACAACGCCCGCGAGGCTGCTCGCACCCAGGAGGGCCGGCCTCTGGCTATTGCTCTCGATACCGTAAGTGCTTCTAACCAGGCTTCACGATCAACGCATCTGACCCGACCGTAGAAAGGACCTGAGATCCGTACCGGAAACACCGTCGGCGACGCCGATATCCCCATCAAGGCTGGCCACGAGCTGAACATCACCACTGATGAGCAATATGCCACTGCCAGTGATGACAAGAACATGTAAGTCATTCCGCCGTGGGTGATTTCCGCGAGTCATCATCACGTCATTTGTGGGCGCACTCGAGTCAACGGAGACTGATCTGCATCCCCGTAGGTACCTTGACTACAAGAACATCACCAAGGTGATTGCTCCCGGCAAGCTCATCTACGTCGATGACGGTATCCTGTCTTTCGAGGTTCTGGAGGTCGTCGACGACAAGACCCTGCGCGTCAAGTGCTTGAACAACGGCAACATCTCCTCCCGCAAGGGTGTCAACTTGCCCGGCACTGATGTCGACCTTCCCGCTCTGTCCGAGAAGGATATTGCCGACTTGAAGTTCGGTGTCAAGAACGACGTCGACATGGTCTTCGCTTCCTTCATCCGCCGCGGCAGCGACATCCGTCAGATCCGTGAGGTCCTCGGCGAGGAGGGCAAGGAGATCCAGATCATTGCCAAGATTGAGAACCAGCAGGGTGTCAACAACTTCGACGAGATTCTCGAGGAGACCGACGGTGTCATGGTTGCCCGTGGTGACCTTGGTATCGAGATCCCTGCCCCCAAGGTGTTCATCGCCCAAAAGATGATGATCGCCAAGTGTAACATCAAGGGTAAGCCCGTCATCTGCGCTACCCAGATGCTCGAGTCCATGACCTACAACCCCCGCCCCACTCGTGCTGAGGTGTCTGATGTTGCCAACGCCGTTCTCGACGGTGCCGACTGTGTCATGTTGTCTGGTGAGACCGCCAAGGGTTCCTACCCCGCTGAGGCCGTCAAGATGATGTCCGAGACCTGCTTGCTCGCCGAAGTTGCCATCCCCCACTTCAACGTCTTCGATGAGCTCCGTAACCTTGCTCCCCGCCCCACCGACACTGTCGAGTCCATCGCCATGGCCGCCGTCAGCGCCAGTCTGGAACTTAACGCTGGTGCCATCGTGGTCCTGACCACCAGGTAAGTGTCGCGCCTCTGTTGGATCGAATAATGTGCTGACATGCGATGTAGCGGCCAAACCGCTCGTTATGTCTCCAAGTACCGCCCTGTCTGCCCCATCATCATGGTCTCCCGCAACGCCAAGGCCTCCCGGGTAAGTCCATGTGTTCGGTGTGACAATCATGTGATTTGTGCTGACTCGATTTATCGCAGTACTCCCACCTGTACCGTGGTGTCTGGCCCTTCCTCTTCCCCGAGAAGAAGCCCGACTTCAACGTCAAGATCTGGCAGGAGGATGTTGACCGCCGTCTCAAGTGGGGTATCAACCACGGTCTCAAGCTCGGCATCATCAACAAGGGCGACAACATCGTCTGTGTCCAGGGCTGGCGCGGTGGCCAGGGCCACACCAACACCGTCCGTGTGGTCCCTGCTGAGGAGAACCTCGGCCTGTCTGAGTAAATTCTCGATCCCAGGATACCGGCACTCGACCGGTGGATGATGCGATGAACGACAACGATTGGATAATAACGCGCCAAGGGTGTTGTGCCTCTGGATATATCGTAGCACACGGTCTTTCTCATTTTCAAACGCGACGATGACGGACGACGGAAGACCCCGAGTAGTGGACACCCGACCGCGAGTGTCCACTGGGTCGGGGTTCGTTTCATGAGTCGGGGCGAGGTATGACCGAGCCGCACCTGGAGTGCGTGTCGGTTTTTGCTAGACGTCTATTCTTCTTTTACTCCCCGCCCGCGCGCACTGGAGTGGGAACCAAACTGGAGGTATCAGTTGTAATCTGCCTGCCATCTCTTTTGACCAGATCGAAATCTTAGCCAGTACATATTCGGGTGGTATTTTTCGCTTTGCTCCAGATGCTGCGATCCCCAAAAAGCTAGAATTAATGAATTCCTTCTTGCACATGTCAATAATTGATCTGCTTCAGTATGATGCATTCTTCTTTCCATGTAGTGGATCTAGCTGCGTATGTGTTAGTATCCAAGCTGGTCGTATCCAACCTGACTCTGGGTTAGTATTCAGTAAGGGCGAGCAAACACGCTCGCTGCATCTCACGCCAGCTTCTCAATCAGGTAATAACCCGAAGCGTTGCGAAGAGTGCGAAGAGTGGAAACACCGCAGGAGGGTAGCAGTTGCAAGTTAAGAAAAGAAAGATGACCTTGCGGGGAGCACAAGAGGGAAGGAAGGAGCGAGAGCTGGGGGAGGGGGGGTGTTTGTTTAATTATGGAAAACCGATTACCCCGAAAGACCGAGGCTCACTTTTCCCAATTCCATCTATCCTCAGCTCCCAAGGAAACATTCGGGATGTTGGTTAGTATGAGTCTGAGTATACGGGTGGTGGTGTACGCGCCCCGGGGGACATGCAAACACACGACCCATACCCAGAAATTCCAGCAGCAAAAACGAGGTGAACGAGACAACAACGAGGAGAAAGATCTTAAAGAATAAAAAGTTGCAATGCGAGCAAACTGCGCACCAGAAAAGAAAAAAAAAAAAAGAAAAAGTTCCCCTTGCATGTGGGTGGTGGAGGGGCAAATCAAATTCCCGCGTCGATGCATCCCGAGTTTTCCCGGGATCAGCCGGTAAAAGGCGCCTGCGCACCGTTGGAGAAGTCGGGAGAACGGAAGTTTTGGTTGCGCTCACTGTAGGTTTTGCTGCTGGCCCGGCCCGGGGCCCGGTTGGGGTTGATGCGAACTACCTACTAAATACTAAATCACCGGTGAAGGTATTCTTCTCTTCAGTCTTCTTGTCATGGTATAGTACGTGAATTTAGGATACTATGTTGATCCTATGGTAGATAGTGGTGTTTCATTCAATGATCATGATCATGCCCAAGCTGGTCGCTGGCTAATCTATCAAATTCCATTATTACATTAAGGAGAGGGACCGAGTGAAGTCGCCCGCTTGGGGCGAGCTCGGTTTATATGCAATTGCAAACAAAGCCGCTTCGTGTTTTCCATGCTCAGTCGCTCACATATCATAGCAAATTGAATCAAAAAGCAGGTCAATGCGGAAAGAAGGCAGTAAGTAACGAAGAAGGAACGTCGGTTCTTTTATACATCACTTCGTGTCGTATCGTCGTGTCCGTTATGTATGTATGCATGCTGGTGGTAATGTTCATATAGAAGGGGATGCGCAAATAGATAAGTGTTGCCGTTCTTAGGAAGCTGGCAGATCGGTTCAGTGTGGCGTTTCGTCAGCGGTCTCACCGTCGACGACTGAGTGACTGGCCTGGCTCGGGTAGTGCTCGACCGGAGCGTATCTGAAGGCCTGGGGTTGTTGGAATTGGTGCCAGCAACTATTAAGCAGTTAGCATCGTCCCGTAAGCATGATTCCAGTGAACAGTGGCCTACCTTGGTGCTTGAAGTACATAGCGGGCCATCGCCTCCCTGAAGCGACTCTTATACTCCTTGGGACTGGTGACAGTAGGTCGATTTTTGCCACCACCGGCAAAGCCACGATCCTTGATCCAGGATTCCAGCTTCTTGTCCCACGTGTAGGTGCGAATGCAATCGATGACTCCGACAACCAGTTCCGACCGATTCTCGTCGATGGCGATCATGAGAGAATAGTCCATCACATTTTGACGACCCAAAAAGAGGGTATCGTTCCAAACGCTTTGACTAAGCAGCTTCTTCGAATGCTCACGGACAAACAACGGCGTTTCATAGATGAAGTCGACCATGTTCTCGTCGAGAAGCACCTCGTTGCGTTCTCCGGTGCTTTGCACCTTGCGGTTCCTCATCGAGCCCTTGAGGTCGAAGATCCGCGTAGGGACTCGGTCGTAGAACAGGTTCTCCATCAACAGTAAGAACCAATTGAATTCCGTCCCCGTGGCAGGATTCTTGATAATCACCTGGTAGAACCCGAACATCTTGGCGATTGCGGAGGGCAATTCGTGGAATAAAGCCTCAGACATGATCTGGAAGTATGCAGGGGCGAACTTCAAGAACGCCTGGGTTTCAATGGGCGACAATGACTTGAGGATGAAACGGTCATCAAGGGTCTTCAGGAACAAAGACTTCGTCTTGCCTCCTTTCGAGTCCCACTTCGCACAACGTGAGAGGGACTCCACGATCCGCTCCGCGACACCGCACTTTCTCCGGAGCGCGTCGAACTGTTCGGCGTAAAAGATTTTACAAAGCATCTTGGCCTGGCCTTCTTGAAATTGATACTTGAGATGCGTGCCGGTAGACCGCAGCAGGGCGTGTTCCACCCTGGTTTCCTCAAAGGCCTCTATGCCCTGTTCTGGGCTTGCGCCCTTCTCCTCTGGTTCCTCAAAGCGTCGCTGGATGGCCGTGAGCTTTTCCTTGTAATCGGACGAGTCTAGCGCGAACGCTATTAGTGAACTTGGTTCATCCTCACGAACGATAATGTCACAATCAGCGAAGACATGGTCGGACATGGTGAGTGGGTAGTCGAGCGGAGTCCATCCACTGGCAGAGCGCTCGGACCAGAAGTTCGTCAGCATTTTCAAAAGAGTGCTTCTTTCATGTTTCGGGAACTCCTTGAGGTCCATTTGTTCATCTTCAGGAGACCCCTTGATCTCGTCATTCGAATCGGTCCGCTGCAGATCGTCGGTTGATGCTCCTCTATCTTCGTCACTGTGCGCATCTGCTTCAGCGTCTGACAAGTTGTGCTCCTCATGAGTACCATCCTCGATGCCTGGCTTGGTATCAGGAAGCTCCTGAGAAATGGAGTCTTTCCTGCCATCTTCCAATTCCTTCCCGAGTATGTCTTCACTGTTTCTGCTTGACTGGTCCAGAGGAATGCGCGACAAGAGCTCGTCGCCTTCGCCAGATGGCTCCCGCTCCTCTACTGCTTCCCTGACGTTCTTATAGACTTCCACGATGGGCTTGGAGGAGGCCAGAGGGAAAGCCCGGGAATGCGCTCCTTTAGCGGCACGCTGGGCTCTTTCACGTTGACGTTCCTTTTCGAACTCTCGGCTCAGTTGCTCAAAATGCCTCGCCAGGTTTGAGACCCGCGAGTTTCTCCGATTGGGAATTGAGCGTGGAATGAAAGATGGCCCGGGTGTCATCCTCCCGTTCCGCATGGCGTTGAAGCCAAACAATTTCTTGTCTCCGGGCTTGAACTTGGAATCTAAGGGAGGACTGGGCGTACCATCCAGCGGGCTCAACTTTCCCAGCCCAAGCTTCATGCCCCTGATAGGAACACCGTCGTACGCTAGCTCTTTTTGCGGCTGAACTGGTTGTGTTTGAGAGCGGAACAAAGGCGGAGATGCTGACTTCCCACTACGCCGAAGGAGACCTTCGGCCGGTCGTGGAATTGCCGACGGCAAACGGCCCGGAGGAGTGACTTTGGATACGTCTTCGCTCTTCTTCCTTGTGTGAGTGTTTGATTCATCGGGAGGTGGAGTCTCCGTCGGTTTCGCATCTGGCGCTGTGGGGATGACCATAGGAGGATGGGCTTCCACCGTCTCCAAAGAGCTTGCCACAGAGGGCATTAAAGCAAACGGTTCAGGCTGAGCCAATGGCGTTGCGAGATCGAGATGTTGGACCTCCTTTTCTGCCGCGAGCTCGGCTTGGGGAGGAGAGAAACGTGTGCTTACGGGGCTAGTTGAGATAGCCGAGGAGTCAATGTCCTCTCTGCTTAAGTCACTTCCCTGGCTGTGAGCAACATCCTTTCTGTTCGAGTGCTCCTCGACAACCGAAACGAGAACGTCCTGAGCCTTCTCGGGGGAAAGGGTCATGCGACGTGCTTGACGGATCTTTTCTGATTCGGGACTTTGTCCGCATTCGGTTTCGGTTGGAGTTGTTGGAGGCTCTTCGTTGGAGGAGATGGAAGTAGCATCCCTATCCAAGAATATTTTCTTGAGTTGCAAAGTTGCTAAACGTCGGATATCTTTCTCCGAAGGGAAGAAATTCTTCTCGAATTCGGCGAAAGCAGTGTCCCATTCAACAACCTTTTCCTGGACCGCTCGGAGGACTTCATTCAGAGGTATGACCTCCCAATACTGGGAATTGGTGTACTTCTCTTGAAGCTGTTTGACAATCATGGCGCTATCCTCATTTGCCTTTCGGTTCAGGTTCTCAATCTCCTTCTTGCAGTCTTCCGCCAATTTTGGAATCACGCTTTCAACGTTGATGCCCTTCAACCTGGCCTTTACCGAGGTCATAAATCTACTGATGCGTTGCTCCATTCTTTGATAGATCTCGTTCCTGAGTTTGAGGTCGTTGTCCACTTTCCAGGTAACCCGAGTCCGAGGAACAATGATCTCAAGCAAATTAATGGTATCGTAGTGAATGCGGATGGCAACATCCTTGAAACCGAAGAAACGGAGATGATCCCGCTGCAAGTCATGAGGGCAAACGCCCGCTCGGGCATGCAAATTCTTGTTCCAGAATGAAAGCTCTAGATATTTCCCGAAGGAATACTTCCAGGTGCTTTCGGACATGGGAAAGACCTGGGTTTCGTTGCCGCAG